AGATACACCAGTATCAGGATAAACCCACTCTAGTTTTATCTCCGCGCGTGGTAATATAGTTACAGCGTCGTAAAACGAATTCAGCAACATTGAAAGTCCGTTTATGAATGCATTAAATGTGGGATCAAAAGTGACAAACGTATTTCTTATTACAACGTCTACGTTAAAGCCACAATTTGTATACTATTCGAACAAAATGTAAATTGTATTCAATGCACTTGAGCAAAATGTTGGGAACATTTACCATTTTAATTGAGAATATCTAAGCCCGTAAGAGACATATACTTACACCCACATCAGTAAGATAATCGATATAATCCTCCATCGAACGTAAGCACAAATCTCGCAATTGATCTTCCATGACATAGGCAAGGCAATTGAAGAATCTATTATATCGCGGATCGTTTGCCGGTGGTAAATTTCCTTTCTTCGAAACCTGAATATAAAATTAATAATTTTGATAAAGTTATTAATTTTCCAAGAATATAATTAAAAATAGTAAAATTTATATTAATGCAAAAAAATAGTATTTTAATAGTTTATAATTATTAAAAAGTTGAATTTCTTACCATGAGTAAAATGTTGCAAATTTTTGGCAACCATCGTGTGAGAAGATCGTCGCTCGTATTTTTAAGAATTGTCATAAACTTATGGTCAAATGTTGAAAGATCATATGGTCGTCCATACGATGCTAATTCTTTTTTGTCTACTTGTTTGACTTTTCTACAATTATTGAAAAATATCATTATTATTTTGAATTAAAAATAATATATATATATATATATATATATATATATATATATATATAACTGGTAGTACAATAATACAACGATTCGCTAACCCATATTCGCGGTACCAGTAATCCAAAGTTTTACGTATACACAAATGATATAGAATAATCGACTTCTTTTCCAGTTTCATCCTTGTTTTTTGATTTTTAACGCCTTGTTCCGGTGAAAATGGCTCAATAATTCCTCGGGAGAATAACGGCTAGAATGCACGACGTATAAACGCAAACAATTTGGAAACCGGAACTGTATTTAGCATAAAAAAACTAATTTTATTTTGTGTTTTTCTTTTTTTTAAATTGATGCAAGACCAATTAAATGTTTATGCTGTCTACGCATTAGGCTCAAAATTTTATATTATATGTAAAATAATATTTTATTTTTTTAATGAAATGTTCTAGAGTCCGAATAATAATATTATCTCATTATTATCTCATTATTATTGTTATTACCGTTATGCGCATAATGATACTAACCGGTGCACAGAGACTGTGCGCTTCCTCGAATGGTTCCTGTAACACAAAGTCAACAACGGACTTTTTCATGCTTGTAATGTAATCGCTTTTTAATTCCCGAATCAATCGGTCGAAACACTCCTTGTGTCTCTCCTGCCATTCAATGGACACCATACTTGTTATCTTCTTTAACGTGTCAGAATCTAAGGTGCCTGCGTGAACGTCATCGACCTCATGAAGAATGTAGTAATAATATCTCAAGAGATTTTTGTCTTCTTCCGTGAGCCAACCATCAGCAGCGATATCGCTCGAAGCTGTCGCCGTTTGCCCGCAAACATCATCAACATAATTTAAAACCGTTTCTTTCTTTGCTGCACAATTGTTGCATAATTCTCGACTTTTTCTTGGCCCTTTAATCTTTCTGATCAGATGCATCCGAAATTTGGCTCTCTGCTGGCATAGCAATGTATAATAATCATCCTTTTGGGGTGCGATTTCTTTTTTTTCTTTTTCCTTTGATGCTGTGATACTCCTTCAAGTTTAGTTAGTATTTTTTTAATTGAGAGAAAGTAAGTGCAATACAATCAAATATTATAAAGCTTATAAATTGCATCTTGTAACAAATGATGCTTGTCGTACTTTGTAAATTATTAATTGTTTACCTTGGTAAAGACTCGCACTCTTGCGGCAAGTCAGAAACACTCGGTTCGTATATAACATACTTTTTCAAATGACTGAAAGTTTTTTGATGCATGTAATATTTTTTGGAAAATTTTGGGCAATACGTATCGGAACTGGATTTCATCCAATTGCAATGCTTTTTACGAGATTTTCTGACGCGCGGCTCTTCAAATACGTCGCTTCGCTTTATTGATTTCATGCATGGTTCCGAATATTTATGGATATCGATTTCTTTATCGTTTTTATCTTGTTCCGTAGCTTTTTCTGTTCTTTGAATTCCGCTTTTCTCTTGTACACAATACGGTACTTCCATCGTGTAATCAGATTTTTACGTTTCCTATTACAATCGTTATGCTAATTTTACAATATTACACATGTACGTTCTGAATATATAAAGATATAAAATAACTTTTATATTAAATTACACATGTATATAATATTTCAAACCTTCCTTATATATCATAATTATTATAACTTACCGTTTTTAGAGTTTTTAGAGTTTAAAGTCTCACTTGGTACAGAAAAATATATTATAACACATAACTCTCTACAAAAACTTATTTCTAATTATTTCATGTTTATTTTATTAAGTTTATCCAAATTATTTCACTTTACATCAAATCAATCCATAGAAATGCGCTATGTCGCACGAAGCTACCTTGAAACTGAAACCTACAGTTTACGTTGCCATAGCAATCATTCTGACATTAAAGATAGTTATATCAATCACGTAATTGTGTCAATTACGTAAATATGTATGTTATACATAATTTACTTTATATTAACATTTGTGATAATGCAAGAAATAAATACCAGTATTTAAACACAAATGAAAATATGATCTCTATCCTAAAAAAATAAAGGAATAAGGAGAGAAATTAAGGAATCCATGTGGTAAAAATTAATTTACATATTATTTCTTTCAAAGTAAATATTTATTCTGTGTATTTATATAAGTGACATCGCTTTCAGGATAATACTTTCACAAGTATGATATAAGTCTGTCAACGGTTTGTGTTTGTCTCTGATAATTGGATACCCGTCAATAGCAGCTGCTGTGTTAATTTGCAATTTGCGATACGAAAGATGTATAAAGATAGATGTATGAAGATAAAGCGCAATATATTTCTCTTTTATACGTATATATATATCTCAAGTACTTTTCTTAGTAACGCAAAAAAGTTTCTCGCGATATTAAATTTTATACATCTGTATTTATATATATAATATATCACGACAATCTGTATTTATATATATAATATATCACGACAATTCTACGTCCACATATGGATTGATTGTCACTTGTCTCAGATATACATAATACACTGTTGACCCCTCTATACATCTAAATAGGCAACGTGAAGAGTACTTCTTCGCAATTTCTTTTTCTCTCTCTCTGTTTTCAGAAATACACGAACGAGAACATTTAGCAAATTATCATCAGGGACAACCTACTGCTAAAATGGGCTTGTGTAAATGTGTGTGTGTGTGTGTGGTGTATATATATATATATATATATATATATATATATATTTATATGTATATGTGTGCGCAAAATTAAAATATGTTTGGACCTCGCAACCTCCTAGCATGCCTCTTGCACACTATGAATTTAAATTCAGATATGCACATACAGATGAACGATTAAAAGGGAAAGGCAAAGGCGCGCGAACGAACATTTGGTGACTCTCGCACTTCTTTTAATTTCGCCAGCGAAATGGTACGTAGGCGGCATATATGTTCCCAGCAATGGCGATTCATAGCCAAAACCGCATGGATATATTGATTTTCTTTCCGGCACCCTTTCGGTGTCCCGTCGACGTTTCAACGTCGAGATACAGTCATCGTCAGTTCATGCTAAACATAGTTGTAGTGGTGCACGTTATTAGAAGCCGAGAACCACGCGACCTGTGCAATTTGTGCCGACCCTCTTTCAATGCGCAGAGAGATTTGCATACCAGGATATTCTAAAAAAGACAGAGCCTCGATATCTCATCATATTGTCATACAAATTTCATCATACAATTCTATCTCTCATATGGGTGCGAATAATTCTTATCAAGGAAAATTCAATTTTAAATTTTACTCCGAATATCTGTTATCATATCGCGTTCTTTTCAGAATATCCTGTATAACGATGACTATACAATTAAATTTCTAACGATTTATATAATGTTGTTAACACAGGTACATTCAATATGAGTACGGATAACACACAGCACTTTTAAAACGTCGATTATTGAAATTCATTCTCATAACCGATTAATTCCCCTATTATGTACAACGTGATTTGTATCCGAATAATCTCTTTGACAATTTGATTTTACAGATTCGGGAAGAGTGAAATAAATACAATGACATCGCTCATCCACATTCGATCTGATAATGACACACGCTTTGTTGATAGTCTCATACCAACGGTATCGATCCAATTCTCTTGTGCCTAACAAGCGATATCAGTAATAGCGTTGCTATTGCTTATCTTCAACAGAATTCTCGTAAATTTCAAGTCAAAATTAATATTGATCAAATTATGGAGTATGCCATATGTTCGATTAATTTCTTGTTTTTAACACTCTATGATATATAAACACGTAAATATATAGCATTTAATACACAAATTTTCTATCTATAATCACATGCATTATTGCTGTGTTTAATGTCTTCAAATTTAAATAGATGCAACCAATTAAATATTTTTCAATTAGTCGAATCAATTAAAAATTGTGTTGTATTTTTAGACATGTTAAATCAATCATAAATCGATAAATAAAAATAGACGGTAACGATATGGTTTTTGTGAAATATTCGAAAGATCAAGATTATTTCCCATAAACTTTGACAATTGCATAATACACGTCTATACCTCATCTCTTTAACTGTTCACACATATTCTATGTCATTTATAAATTTCAATATATATTTAATTCTTCAACCTTTTCATTTAATATAAAACTAGAATTTATATACACATATCATCATTCTGTCAACTAGTGCAAAGAAAAATTTAGATGCTTGAAATATTAATATTAAATGACTGAAATATTACACATCTTTTTTTGTATATATGAAAATTTTTTTTATATACGTTTGATTAAAGTAAATTTAATATTTGAAAAACGCGAGACAGGAACTATATCAGTCACATGACATTACTGCCAGGATACTTGTAGAATCGAAAGGCATAATAATTAAAATGACACAAATTTCGAACGAAACAAGAAATCAACTATTGCCATGTTCGATCGAACTGTCCAAAGCGTCGCAGTTCGCTGCAAAACGAAGTACACGCTTTCAATTAATTACACAATTAATTACTTCTTCCATTGAACACTAATGTAGATTTTCTCACATTCGGCTACACAACAGCCGAAGTAGCAGATTCAACCCTCGTCTCTCTCACGCGACATCAGAAAGATTAATTCGGGCATATGTCGACGCAACTTCGAATTTGTACGCTAAGATAGTTCTCGTGTTCATGCACGATTAATGTCCAAATAAATGACAGTATCCTCAGCCATCGAGATTTACAGAGTCGCGTTGATTTTGTTCATTTTTAAATAGATACGTGACAGATGTCTTCAGTTGTGGCTTGAAAGACGCGTGACGCGCGAAAGATCTGAATTGACAGTGGAAAGAGCTTAATCCTAGTTTTGTTAATATGCATCAATTGCGGCGGAACGGGAAATCCGGAGGTCATCGAACGGTTAAGGTCGTGTGAAGCGATACCGGTACGGAGTCCAGGCGAACAGTTCTAAAGGAAAAGAATAACATATCCATTGTCTATGCATCGCTCTCTTGTCACATCCTCTAATGTTCTTAGCATGCAAGAGTGGTGCCAGATCGTAAAGATCATTGCTACTTCACGCCATTTCTCACGCCACAGATTCGGGATGCACAATTAGCATGCATTTCTGAAAACGGCCATTTATGTTTGAAAATGAAGCTTCTTCTCTTCATTGCCATTCTATACTTTATCTAATCTAATAAGCATAAATAATAATTTAACGCTGCAAAAACTGCGATTGCATTTTTCCAGTTCTTTTGTGTGTTCTTCTGTTTCTTCTGTTATTTTTGATTAATTCAATTCAATTCAAAAAACCAAAAATATCAAAAAGAATGAATGTAAAATGATATTTTTGATCCACAAATTGATTCGGTTGAATTTTATCACAGTTTAATCGACTCCTATTTCTTACTTTAAAATGTCGAAAAGAGATAAAAAATTAATCAAATTATGATGAAAAGTTTTCTTAGTAATCACTCTTTGATTAGAAAATGAAAGTCTCGTTGATTGAAAAGTTAAGTCAAAAGTAATATTCTTAAGATTTAAAATATTCAAAATGTATATAAATTTTGACATTTAACTGTGATAATAAATTCTCTAATTATTTTCAGATAAACTCTCTAATTATTTTTATAATAATAAATTCTCTAAATCTTATTTTTAGGCAATCTATTCCGCAAGCTATCATTTCCAGTTGCGTTTATTGTTCGATGATGAAACATGCCGGATTTCTACGGATCTGTTGACTGATTTGTGAACAAATCCGGTTGTGAGAGAAGTCTAAGTGCGATATCATCCGATGAATTTATAAATGATAGTTGAACGACAGTCACACAGTCTTGCATGGGAGATGCGTGTCATGATGTGATTTTACGACATCTCTTTGGTGGGCATCTCTGATGATGACTCTAATGCTGTGTAAGTACATATACATCAAGATATCGAAATGTAAATGTGTATGAATGTTGAATGGTTTATCAAGGAGTTCAATTAATAACGATTCGATGGCTATCGTTTCAGATGAGAAATAATGCCCAACACGGCTGTAAAAACTTCGCTAATCAAAGGCGAAGCGATAAAAACAATCATTCACAAGCATCGGCTCTCGGGATTGATCGTGGTCGACTCGTTCTCCGCATCTGTAGATGGTATGGTGGGAGGATGTCTGCAATCTGATTGAATGGTGAAGCGATATGAACGATGTAAACGCGCTTTGCAAAACTACTTGTTTGTAAAGGAGAGTTTGTAGCGTGTTGCGGCACGTACACTACATGTAGAATCGCTCTACGATTTACCATGATTGGTGAAGCATGGGCAAAGGGCATTCAGAATACGATTGCAGAATCCACGCGCTCGGTTGTTCCATCCAGCGATGGTATCGCCACCCTTCAATCTACTGCCTGTACACACACACACGCGCGTATACGTATAGTCAGTATGTTATAAATATCAATCTCGAAAGATAATTATAATTGTGCGTTCTACTTTGTAAGTAGCTCTAGGGTGTTTTACCCAACTTGACGATCTGAAATATCTCTGTCATTATTCATGATACGAGAAAATATAAAAAATGTAAAAAAAAAAATTATATACCGAATACTAAGACTAACAAATCGCTTTTGGCCTTTTTTGCGAATTAAATTTATCGATATTTTTTCAAATGGACATAATATTAATGACATATGTTTCATTAGCATCTTGTAACTAATGACAAAAACTGAATAGTTCATGATGTATCGATTTCTTTTATATGATAACCTTGATATTTTCTTTATACGATATAATTTATTCTTTATATATTTTCCCGTCTCATGCATGCAACAGCGGAGATATTACATGAGCATGAGTATATTTCTACTCACCGATTTAAATGTACATTTATCTAATCAATTACGAATTTATTTTATTCTATCTCTACTTTTCTATATATTTATTAATATCTATAAATATTTTTTTAGTCATTTTACGCGTCTATCTAGCAATCTAGCAATCTACGCACTTATCAAATCATCTCTCCTCGTTTGCTTTTTGCCTACCTTCTTTTTTTGAGTATATAATATTTACCGCTTTACTTATATCTGCCTTCTTTTTCCTTCGTTATAGCCGACGCGAGTCAATCACGAATATTTCAGCCTCGTAAAAATGAGATACTTGAGTCTCGTAAACGAATCGAATAATCGAAGATGAATTTTTACTTACCTTCTCCTATATCAGCTCCCTGAAACACAAAGAGCAAATTTTGTATGCCCAATCTTCGCGATATAGTTTGATAGTAGTAGTTGGTCTCATTAATGGCGCGTTTGCCCTTCGATTTATACACTTGAAACTATGAAACTTTTCTATTTGAATATAACTCGCGAGTTCTGGCACATTACCTCCGACTGAGCTTTTCTTTTCGAGGCTTCCGTAGTAGCGGTCTCTATCACTTCGCTAATAAATTTCGTCGTTTCCCTCATGAGCTCCTCGTCCTCCTTGAAAGCTTCTTTCCTTTGTTCCAGCGTCCCTGTCATCAGGTTTTTCTCGTGTTCATCCATGTTGCTAGTTTGGTACGATGTGGACATCCAATCGGTTGTCAACGAGTATCATCAACAACGACGATTATCGTCTTTGCGTTCTAGCCCTTTACAATTAAAATCATACTTTCGATCAAAGAATCTTATGCGCGAATTGATTGCAGAGCTTTTCTTAATTAAATTAACATCACACAAATATTTAATTACCTTATCGAAAATTTACATAATGGAATGTATTAGAAAATTATTTAATATGTATACAAAAGGGCTCGTAACAGATGCGTGCGTTGTTTATGACCTAAGTGATACGAATGCACTCGATAATTTTAGACTTAATTATCTCTTTTATTATCTCTCTTTCTCTCTCGTTTTTTTCTCTCTGTGATCACCGGCTTGATATTAATTCATCAAGATTCCCGTCGACCCTTTACGCATTCAAGTCCCTCGCGCATACATTACCGGTAATCGACCGCAAAAACGAGACTTGGAACCGGGGTAATTTCGGTGTTTTTCTAATCAATAGAGGATCAATAGAGATGTATAAAGATGTGAACAATCAAATCATATTTTTAGTTCAGAATAAAAATAAATTGTGTCCTAATTATATAATTCTTTAAGGCAAGGTAAATTCTTATAGAGCTTTTACTTTCTTCACATATGCTACGAATGCATATAAAATAATGAAAATTTGACATAATGCGGTTTATGATTTTTTATATTTACACTGTGCTTAATCTGCACTTTTGTTGCAATAGTCTCGTCGATCGAAATCACCGAGAGATTACACCGGCCTCAGTCTCGATGTCAGTTCATTTCTGAAGAATATCGCGAGGTGAGAACGATCCCGATTGCCGAATGTAACAATGTAACATGTAATTGCAGGCACCAACGTAAATATAACGAAGACGACGACGAGGATATATGCCACAGGTGGTGTGTATTGTTTCACCACGCACGCACACTGATACCGAACAATCGTCTCTACGTACACGCGCGTGTGTTCCGGGGATGCCGACGATGACGTGGTCACCGATGTCCAAGGCCGGCGTTGCAGTCGAGGCCAACCGCCGTTTAATCGCTGATAAAAGTGCCTGGACCTGGCCACCGAGCTATCCCGAGCCAAGCCGGTCGAGCTTCTGACGTATTCCCCGGGTCCAATAAATTTCCCCTCGCTTTACGAACATGGACTTGGCTCGATGAGGAGGTGTCCTCAGTATTCGAGATGCCGAGAAACGTATCGACAAGAAATTGAACGATAAAAGGGGAAAGCACCCCTCATCTTTTTGCTCGGCAGCGTCTTCGACGGGCTCGCGCTCCGCCAGGTAATGATCGACGCGAAGCAGGCGTTACCAGACGAAGCTCTCTTACCCGACTGGATATCACCCCAGCCAGACCCCGAAACGGAGCATGCGTCGGGGCATGCAGTTATTAGGTTTTTATATCTGTGCTTCTATGTACTCTCTTATCTATGTGGGCGAATATATACACGTGCATATGCACCGACCCACGCGCGTATACACATATGTATACGTATGTATTTATTGTCATTTTTTATCTCGTAGATTCGTAGACACTATCTCTATCATCTCAGATTCAGACTAGAATGAAAAGCGAAATTTGACATATAATGAAACATAATTGACATATAACGAATTATCGCAGCTGCTGATCATTTACTTGAAAGATCTTAAAAAATGGATGGATTCGAGAAACAATCGATGGGAATTATCTTGTAACGCTGCGAAGCTTCTTAATCTACGGAAAAGAATAGAGCTTTGCAATTTTCAAATTTCTTTCTGTGTGGGAAATATATGAATACACATATTTATGTAAATTTATGGATATCATATGTATGAAGAACTGTGAAGATTAATTCTGTTCATTAACTTTTATTTCGCATAATGCGTATCGTGCGCATTTTTATCATTCATTTTTAATATAGTATATATAGTACATCTGGAAATTTCATTTCTTTGAGAGTGAAACAATCGGCGAAATCCTTACATATAAGCATTAGAGTCTAAAAATACATGAGGTACTTGTTGATTCTGGATCTGTTAAAAGGATCCTTATGTCGGATACTTATATATCACTGTGTATAAAGTACGTATCAACATTATTAACGGATGCAAACATTTTTATTTTATTCTACATAAAATACGTATAACGTAAAATCTGTATAATGCCTCAATGTGAGTTGCGGTAATCTTTTACGCATCCGTTCGGTTACATAATTAGAAACACATGTACATCATGCGTATATGTATGTGTATCAATGTATTTCATAATTGTTATCAACTGGTCGCAATTAATGACACGTACAGAACCGAGTGTTGGTTTCTTAAAAGAAAGATAAGGAATCGCGTCGCTGTCTCATGCAAATTTAAATATACGAAATGAGATATTTATTCTCGATGAATTACACAGAATGAGAATTGATCGAATTTGATGTCTTTTTTGCAGTCGAATCAAAAGCTTGTAATTATTTATTATATATTTGAATGAAAAGTATAGACGTTTCGATGCACTTTGCATGAATATTCCTTAGCTTTAATGAGAAAGACGGTTCGGGAAGACATTGCTAAATATAGCACGAACGCGTTTAATAACAAAAGATCAATATGATTGTACGATGAATATTTTTTCCCTGAAGAAGCTTGTCGCTCGATAGCTAATATGTATTTTTTCTTGTTTTGCGTTTGACGTGGCATGTGCCGTACATATACACGCAAAAGTGTTCTAATGTATGTACAGTTTATTACATTATATTACAATATATTACATCAATATATTACATTAATGTACGATGCACGTGTTGTTTACCTGCCTCATATTAGATTCACAGCGTTTCTAAAAAAATATCTATATTATATAATATCTTGGCTTCAAGATTAATTTTTTCTTCCAACATTAATTTCTAATACTTCACTAATTATTTTTATTATAATTTTGTTATAATTGTTATTTTTATTAATATTGTTATTATATTAATTTGATGTTATTCTAGATCCACAGACAAATTTGAGGAATATAAATTGATATTTTCTAATAATTTTCCAGGTAGAAGGACATCATAATGATGTCATTATGAGTTTCATGTTCCACCTGGGTTATGTTATATAATAATTTGTATTATATTTGATTATACAAATTATAATTAGTATTAATAATATAAAAACGTATGTATAATTCTAATAAAATATATGCACAGAATTTATGTGTGCAGGAAACAAAAATTCATTTTTCAAGCTATGCAGTGAGAGAAAAGGAAGAACAGAAAGTATAAAAAATAAAAGAACGAGTCCATTACAATTTAAAAAATGATAATCTGTGCACATTTTAATCTATTATATTATTATATCTCATAATTCATACATCTTTCTCATATATCAATGCGAGAGCATATATCAATTTCGAGCATTTCGTTAGCATTCTCAACATTGATATTCGCGATGTGCGCGCGCGACTATCGCTCTGAAAGAGCCGCCTTCAATGAATCAATCAGCTGCTACGCGCTAAGAAATGTCACTTGCGATGGTGCGTACATAAATCCTACCCGCGTGGTAGAACTGTATTTAATTGACCAATCAGAACGCAGAAACCTTTGCTCCTCCTTTGTCCTGATTGGTCAGTTAGTCCAACGTTGCGTCACCCTACGCAAGATTTCCGAATGCGTCCCGAAAAGATCGATTTAAAGATGGCCGCACCGCGGTCGTCCGATTATCGTGTTGCGTCAATCTGAGACGCATCTCTCAGGGATCGTAGGCCGATTTCGAGTTCGAGTCGAGGTGAGTGACGTCCGATCAACGTTAGCGACAGCACGATCAGCGGAGATTTCGTTCGCGAGAGCGACCGACCCTTTCACCGGATGATGATCTAATGCCTCGCGCGTAATCACGCGAACATGAATTGTCATCAGATACTGAGCGGCGCCTGCAATGCGGGCGATCGCTGTTACGCCGTTGGCTCCGTCGAGGGAATCTCCTTCACCGTGAGTCTACCTTGGTGATACCGAAATCACCGATTAGCGCGTCTCGTGATTAGTTTAGACGGCCTTTACGGCCAATGTTGTACGAAATTTCGTAAGCGATCGCGCGACGAAAAATGCGTACTCTTGCGTGATGGAAGTCAGCTGATCAAATGACACTTTGATTTGAGGCGTATAAAGACGTAGGAGATATCTCCGTCCGCCTCTCCTTTGAATTGACCATTTCCTTCAGTAGAAACGTCATATACTTGTCATGTCCTATATATGTTACATCTGTTTTATATATGCTGTATTGACGTATCGCGGAAAATTAAATTGTTGATCTTTCTTGTTTTGCAATTATTTGTCAGATTTTATTGAGAACTTGATTTTTTCATCAATGCTAAGATAATGTGCTCTATGCAAGGCAAAAATTTGTTAAATATGATAAAAGTATAAAAGCAATAATGTATGAAAACAGTGCAAAAATATAGAAAATTGAAAATTGTTCAATTTAACTCTATATTTAAATTAACTATAATTCTATTTATTTCACTTAGGCATACGCAGCTGGATGCAATATTGTGATCTTGGCCAACAATTTTGAGCGAGTCCAAATAATTCCTGGAGCTGTACACAATTATATTAGGATTAGTTGTCTGGATTGTAGTACAGACACAGGAAAAATTGCTGCAGCATATGAAAATCAAGTGTGCATTTTTGAGCCAACACCTCTTATACACAGCACTTGTTCACATGTTTGTATTAGTATATTTCTTTGTTGTACATAATTTTAAATTTTTAAATAATTATATAAGACAAGGTTTAAAGCAGCTTTATCAAATCTCCTTTATAGCAATTAGAATATAGATGGGTTCAAACAGGAAGTCTACAAACAGAATCGACTATTACTTCTTTATCATGGAATTTAGAAGGAACAAGATTATTAACAGGTGGCGAACTGTTACAGTTATGGCATCAAAATATCATGCCATTTCAAGAAGAACACAGTAAGTTTATTTCTTTGCGAATTGTTTGTTTCAAAAAATAAAAATACATATTTTAAAAAAATACAATTTGTGTTAAAAAAAAAATTCTATAATAAAAATATGATTTCATTTACATTACATATATGTATAACTAAAAAGATAGATATTCATCTCTATAAATATTTAATACTTTATTAATATTTTTAAGTATTCGAATTATCATATTATTACTTCATACAGCAATATTACCTACAGCCATAAAGCCGAAAACATTACAAACAGAAGAAGTCGGCACAACTGGAAACAATCATAATATAATGGCAAATACTTCTCAGGATCGTGAGTTCATTCGTTTTGAGAATGAACATACAGTGTTGGCATGTTAATATATCATAGCTTTTTCTGCCACTGCACTGCATCATAATTTCTTATGAAAGGCAATCATTTGCATATCTTGTTTAATTGAGAATTAGAGGATTGAAACAAATGCATTTTGCAAACAAATATGATCAGAATTATCCTTTCACAATAAACTATCTTTAACAAAATTGCTTTTGCACCATAATTGTCAAATTAGGAGCTTTTGCAACTGATGCTGTATTGCAATTCTGATTTTATTTATATATTTATATTGGAATTTTGATTTTATTTATATATAATGTAATTGTTAACAGACAATGATCAAAATGTGTTTTGGTAGTGGACATGCTCATATATTCAATCTTTATTTGCCATATTTAATACTTTAATTTAGACATTTTGTATAATATAAATATACATTTATTATTCTAAAACATTTATATAATATAATTTTATAAAAATAGATAATATGATTCAAAAGACATTTTTATATTTCTTATTTTATTATTATTATTAAGATATTAGATATGCTATAAATATTCAGCTTTCTTTATTTATATTTCAGATATGTGCATCTTGTTGTGATGAGAAACACAACTTTAGTTTACCCATTAATATCTATATATATATATATATATATATTTATTTTTTAACAGCTGGCGCGGTGACATTCTCAATTGGAGAAGCTGAGAGTCCTGGACCTGCAGACACATTGGCTGCAAATGATCCAGGCGGATGGAATTGTGTGTGGAAATGTCGTACTGCTACACCAGTTCATCTTATGAGTTTTAGTCCTGATGGTACTTTATTCGCGACAACGGGAATGAATGATAGATTAGTGAAAATATGGTTTGAAAACAAGCAATGTATGTATTTATATCAAATGATGAAGAACATGTTATATTTATAAGTAGTTATTATTATAGCTTATTTTTTGTTTCCAGTTTTTCCAGCAAAAAGCATAGATCATACAAGTTTTTCTCAGTCTATAGGCAGTGACAATTTTAGTTTTGTTTATGTTGCACACCCACGCGCTGTAACACATCTATCTTGGCGCAAAACAAGTAAATATATGCCAAAGTAAGTTGCATATGAAACTTTTCAATATTTTTGCGATGAAAGAGTCATGATATGAGGCAGTAAAATATTCTATTTTTATAAAAATTTTGTATTATCTATA